CATCCTTTCGGACTCACCGCCGCCGCCGTCGTCGCCACCGCCACCGTCGCCGTCGTCGAAGCCGCCTCCCCTGTCGTGTCCAGTGCCTCCTCCACCTCCGACGCCGCGTCCGTCGGCGACGCCGTCACGGGGAGCGCGGTCACGCCCTCCGAAGGGCTCGGCGTCGCCCCGACGGCCGCGAGCGACGGCGCCCGCGTGGTGCCGGGGGCGAGCGTCTCCCCCGGCGCGAGGGTCACCACGGGGGCAAAGGTCTCCCCCGGCGCTAGGGTCTCCCCCGGCGCGAGGGTCTCTCCCGGCGCTAGGGTCTCCCCCGGCGCTAGGGTCTCCCCCGGCGCAAGGGTCTCCCCCGGCGCAAGGGTTGCTCCAGGAGCGAGGGTCTCCCCCGGCGCGAGGGTCACCACGGGGGCAAGGGTAGCTCCCGGAGCGAGGGTCTCCCCAGGCTGCAGCGTGATCCCGGCGGCGGTGGAACCGTCGACGGTTGGCGCAGGGGTAGCCGTTCCCTCGACGGTCGGGGCCGGGGAGGCGCTCGGGGCCGGCGACGACGACCCGTCGGTGGTGGCTTCAGACGTGGGCGTCGGGGTGGCTTCCTCGTCGTCGTCGTCCGGGATCGACGGCGCGGGCGTTTCCTCGTCGTCGGCGCTCGGCGCGACGGTCGTCTCCTCGGCGGAGGGGGTCGGCAGCACGGTCGGCGTTAGGTCGGTGGTGGCGGGGGCCGGCGTCTCATCCTCCACCTGCACGAGTGGAGGGCAGCAAAATAGAAATATAAAAATAAGTCCAGGTAAAAGGGTTCGCCGAAGTATGTAGGGAGTTTGTTCGGCGACGGGCGGCGCAGAGGCTGGAATACTACCGTGCACCAACAGGTGCATACATCCCACACAACGTTTTCGCAAAAACAACAAACACGCCCAGCCATGTTTATTCTCCAAACCTGCGAACGCTCCGCCAGCTCCACCCTAGACAGAGTTGACACACCCGAGCTTCATGTTCCAACAATAATTCCTGTGTTCTTATTTTTCCTTTTTTCGAATCTCACCGATGACCCGCGCGGGAACTGCTAACACTCGAAAATAAAAAAGTCAGCATTTCACCAAACCACCTGCGCCAGTGTGGCCAACGCTATCTGCGAGGGGGCCGTCGTCGATCCCTCTACGACAGGATTTGGTGTCGTCTCTGCTGCCACGGTGGGCTCGGTGGTTGAGATTGCGGGGGAATCGGTGGTTGAGATTTCGGGGGAATCGGTCGTTGAGATTGCGGGGGGATCGGTGGCTGGGATTGCGGGGGGATCGGTAGATGGGACCGCATCACTCACGGGGGGATCAGTGGTTGGGATTGCGGGAGTGTCGGTGGTCGCACTTGCGGGGGGCTCGGTGGATAGGACTGGACTGATGGGGGCTTGGGTGGTCAGGACCGGGCTGATGGGTGAATCGGTAGATAGGGCCGGACTCACGGGGGCTTCGGTGGTCGGCACCACGATGACGGGGGCTTCGGTGGTCGGCACCGCGACCACGGGGGGTTCGGTGGCTGGGATCGCGGCACTAACGGGGGCGGGTGTGACCTCCTGCCGCGCGAGAGTCAACGCAACGCAATGCAATGCACGGCGTTATTGCTCGGCGGACACGATAGAAAGAGTCAGAGGGCGTCAAGAGTACAAAAAAAACTCATATGCTTCCCAGAGAGATATTAGCACACAACAAACGCCACGTGAAACATGTACGTACGGGTGGTGGTCCCGGTTGTGTGTGGCACGATACGTGGGTGGGAGCACACCTGGTCTGACTTTTGCGCGGGGAACGCAGCCTTTGGGGGTCGGGGCTACAATGCTCGTCACTTCATGCACGGGAGTTCGCTTTTGAGCCCGATTTGGGGGGCGGGGTAAGACGCGTTTCCGACCGTCCAAAAAACTCTCGTTGCAAAGCCTAAGAATCCCAATACACACCCGTCCTCGACTGCATTATTAGTACTTCGAACGGGTAGTCTTTCGGTGGTTGTGAGTAAATTTCGAATAAACAAGCGCATGTACCGCTGATGACACTATCCAACAAACGAGGGATGTGCCAAGACCTTCCGAACATACGAGAATGCCCCTGGAGAGGTCGGGTTGGAACTGATTATCCCGCTACGCTGCCGTCGAGTCAACCTCCCGGTTCTTCGGCGCTCCATTGTCATCTTGACTGCTTTTAGCTGCGGGAGAATCCAGTTTTTCTTAGTTCCTTTTCGGCATGTGTTCCGTTGTCCGTTAGCAACTTTCGTGTGTTTGGACAACGGTAAAAAATTACGGATGCACATATCTCATTTGCATTTTCGCAGAGGTCGTGTGTGGGGGGGCGCTCATGTTTTGCATGTTTTAGCGGTTAGACCATTGACCCCCGGGGGGGGGGGGAGGGGCGGCTGCTAAATGTACAACCGAGAGCGGCTTTGACACCCGGGGCTCCGCCACGGAAAATGGAAAAAAGCAAGGCCCGTGGGAGGCATAAATAGGGATGTGATGACTCTCCAGGGTTGACGGCGCCAGGGGACCGCGGCATCACCCACCCGAAGGCCACAGCTTCCCTTCGGCGACACAAGGCCATCCGAAACACCACCCGACCCTCCAACCGTGGCGGCCCAAGTCCGGGGTTCGGCCAGACAAGCTGCCATACCTACCACCCACCCTCCAATTACCAGGATTACTACTCTCACCTGTAGGACACGGTGCACATCACGGCCAAGGGCACCCGCCCCATCTCCTTCGCCACCCCCTGCCGCATCACCATCGATGGCGGCGACACCTGAGCCCCTTCCCCTGAGCCCCCCCCGGGCACTTTCCGGCCGGACGACTCCGCCCCTGCGGGCATCGGCACTCGCAGCCTGGTCGGCCCACGACAGCCCGCCCCCCCCGGCGGCGGACGAAGACAGGGCGGCGGCGGGATCCGACAGCTCGGCGAGAGCCGCGGGCGCGGCCGACGACAGGGCCGCCCCAGCGGCGGCCGCCAATGCCGCCAGCACGCCACCCACGACGCCGGCGGCGGCGGCAGCAAGGGCTTCTCCGCCCGCTTCCTCCTCCTCCTCCTCCACCTCCTCCTCCTGCTGCTGCTGCGTGCTGCTGCTGTTGCTGCCGTTGCTGTTGCTGCTGCTGCTGCCCACGGAACTCTTCTTCCATGCCCGGTCCCTCGCCCCACGCT